TAATTATAGATTATTACTTTACTGTTTTCTTGTGTTGTAAGTTACTTATAGCAATTTGTATTAGACTTTGTGCGACATCACATGTCTTCTTCATATAAATAATATGATATGAATATGTCTTATCCCATGATCCAGATAAAATTATTATTTTAATATTATCAAATTTACTGTTTTCTTGTGTTGTAAGTTACTTATAGCAATTTGTATTAGACTTTGTGCGACATCACATGTCTTCATCATATAAATAATATGATATGAATATGTTTTATCCCATGATCCAGATAAAACTAATAATTCTAGATTATTACGTTTACTGTTTTCTTGTGTTGTAAATTATTTATAGTAATCTGTATTACACTTTGTGCAATTGCGCAAATGCTGTTTCAGCTAACATCATAACTACTGCCACCCACATCGTGCAACACAGTTTTATGTAACAAAGGTGGGCGTAACCTAATGTGATACCAGCAGAGGTCGCTTCGTATTCCGCCCCAACCAGATGTCTACTGAGTGACGGGAGACTGGGAACACACTGCCCATCTGCCCTATCTTTCATATATCTTTTTACTATCTGATTTCCTATCTAATCACGCTGGCTTCATTCCTTTAAGGGTTTTGTTACTTAGTTTATTCTTACTTGATTTTCCATAAAATAAATTACTTTCTATTCATATTTTATTGAACTTTAATGCATTCAATCTTTCAAAAGAGTACATCAAATACCGCTAAATTAAAAACAGTTTTTGTTTTTGTTTTACACAGTTGCTCAGAATCCTTTCTTTAATGATTTTGAATTCATTCGTATTTTATTAACTTTTCTTTTCATGTAAGAGTAATGTAAACAGTTGGTGTAATGTTTGTTCATAAACCTAAATATCCTTAGTAATGTTTCCTTCACAGCTTACGAAAAATAGTGAAATATGTGTCCCAGGTTTTTTTTTATCAGGCTAGTCCTATTCCATGTTAATCTATTTAATGTATTTTCTTGCCTTTAGAGGGCAGGCAGAATCCCCCTCCCTCGAAGAAGAAATTCCTCAACACTCTTACATTTTCTAAAATCATATAAGTATCTATAGAACTAGGTCTCCCGGTGGGACAGCGGTAGGTTTAAGGACGTACAATGCTAAAACCCGGTTTTCAATTCTTCGTGGTGGACACATCAGAATGACCAATGTAGCTTTGCTCTAAAAAAAGAAACAAACAAATTAACAAGATGAATAGAGCTGATAGAATTCAAAACTACTGACTTCAGCCGGTCAACGAAAGTGACTTATTACAGGAGTCGAACTTAATCTAGTGGCTAGAGTGCTGTGTTGTGGATCGGAAGGTCTAAGGTTCGAGGCTGCGATATGCTGCTGAACGTGTTTCGAACTTTCAGTTGTGGGCACTTTATAAAAGTAGCAGCCAATTTTAGTGTTCGATTAAGAGAATAAATTTAGGCGTCAGTTGCTGATTGGTTACTCTACCTTTGATTAGCAGCTTTAAATTAGGGATGGTTATATCTTAACCTTGGGTTACTTAATATGGTTGTTTAACTGATCTATTGCATGAGATGTTCAGGTGAAAATACTTATGCGAATACAAGGTATTTATCAGCAAAAATAGCGCTCGTGTGGCAATATATTCAAAAAATATAAAGATAGTTTGAGTCAAAAGTAATTCCAAACAGACTGCGAAGACTAGAGTTGTCAAATAATATTGCCCCCTGGTGAGATAGCGGTAAGTTTACGGACTTACAACACTAAAATCCGGAGTTCGATTCCCAGCTGTGGACACAGTAGACAGTCCACTGTGGCTTTGCTCTAAACCATATACACACAGATGTCAAATAATAATTGTAATATATTAACTCCAACGTATCTTAATACATTGTTCTTAATGAGACGAGGAACTATTTTCTATCACACAATACTACGAAGGGAGTTCAGAAAGAGAACGAATTTTATTTTCTCTAAACCAGCCATATCAGATTGTAACTAACAAACGTAAGAGAATGGTGTTAAGGATGCGGTCAGCCATACAATATGTTTGTTTTTTAACACAGTCCACTAAATCAGTTTGTAAGCTTCATCAAACTCAGTATGGTAAAATTTAGATATGGTGTTACGATCCTAGTTGCGAACGACTGTTATAAAACATCAGTTGTCTGTAATTGTTGTTCTCACAGACCGTGTTTGAGATGGACGTCACAGGGTGCTGGGTTAAGACTGTATGCAAGGGGGAGGGGGAAGAGTTGCAAGACAAGTAGACAGATACTGATCTTTGTTTTGTTTTTTCTTTTTGGTTAGTAGGCTAATGTGCTGTTCCAGCAAGTTAATGCTTTCTGCCACAAAGAATGTACATCCCAAGCCTAGTTTCCAAGTAAAACTATTAACGTCTAGGAAATTCCCGCCCGGTGACAGGTTATAACCCTATAGAAACTATGTGGGACTATTTGAAGGGTTTAAAATGTTAGACCACAACTTTTTGAGTTGTCATCACCTGGTCCAAGTTTTGCAACAACTTTGTTGATATCATTTCTTGCAGTATAGAGCAGAACTTATCCAGTCAGGTAAAATGTTAGTAAGATAATACATACTATGTTATATTAGATACTAGCTGGGGTACCCGTACCCTGAACGGAAGTTATGTCAATTCATGATTAATGAAAGGTTATCTTAGGACATCAAAAGTTACTTCCCTTATATGTAATTGTAAAAAACGCCCATAAAAACTGTAAAACACAGAACGTGAAACCGCAAGTTTGCATGTCTCTCCGCACGGACCCAACA